AAACAAGTTTCTTTCCCCCCCCCCCCCTTTATCACCATACATAAACCAATTCTACACCCACCAGGGTGTGACCGGTGCTATAATGTGTTCCTTTCAGGTCCGCTCGGAGGAAGATGAACCCGGACTCCTTCCTGGACACCTACGCTGTGAATGTTCACATAAAGGATGGATCGAAAAAAACTCAGATGATCCCGGACGATGAGCTGGAGGGAGAGAACACCTACGGGATTATCATCAACGGCCACAGCCTGGTAAGCGGAGGCCGAAATCCGAAGGCCGCACTGTGCCGTCTTGTATCTTCCGAAGCCCACCAGAATCCATCTTCAATAAAACAAGCTCCGCCCCCTTAATAGGCGTCTGAAAGTAAGACAATTGTGTTGCCTATAGCGTGCTAACCCGAGGAGTCCTCTCTCTACTCCCTGACCTGTCAGCACATGTGAGCTGCAGCAGGAGCTGATTGGCTCCAAGTGCTGTCCCTTCCCCCTTCCCAGCATGCTGCTGTGCATTAAGTGGAGGGAAATGTTGTCAGTGGAACAGGAAGTGAAGGGAAATCTTCCAATGGGGAAGCCTGTTATAGTGACAGCAGAGATTTCCTGTCGTTGTTGCATATCTCGAATAGGAAGCAAAAGGGGGCCTGTACATAGCTTCCTGAAAACATCACAGCACTCTGCCTCAGTGCTCTCTCAAGGGTTCTCAGCCCTGATGTAAGCAGTGGGTGGGCTCCTGGGAGGAGTTATGCAAATATAAAAATGCCTCGATGGGTGGGTGCCAGCATGGAGGAATGGGCATTCCTAGACAGGCTGTATTTGCATGCAGAGCGCCCTAGGTAACGCCCACATGTGATGCTGAGCCTCCATGATTGAAAGAACTGAAATGCAATGAATGTCCTCCAGCCAGGAGATTTATCTGCCAGTTACTGACCCCAAGCTCACGGTCTCGCCTCATAGGCTTACGCTCTGCAGGAGAAGATGGAGGTGGAGCTGCTGAGGACGGCGTGTATGTGCCAGGCGGTGATCTGCTGCCGGGTCACCCCCCTGCAGAAGGCTCAGGTGGTCCAGATGGTGAAGAAGTACAAGAAGGCCATCACCTTGGCGATCGGGGACGGCGCTAACGACGTCAGTATGATTAAAAGTATGTCAGAGAATGATGTCTGGTGCCATGCGGATTGGGCACTGGAGGCTCCCAGTGCATGCTGGGACCTAAACTATTTGTTTTTTTTTAGATTTTGGGAGAGTGGGGGATCCCCTGGGGAATCTCTATTGTTGTTTCCCTAGTATTAGGCAGGAAGTCAGAAAAGATTTCCCATCGGGTGGGCATCAGACAGAAGAAAAACGAAGGGAAAATCTCCCCACTTCCTGTCTATTGGATAGGAATCAGACAGAACAAAAAGTGGGGGAAAGTTTCACTATTTTCTTGTCTATTTCATGGGTATCGGGAGGAATGTGGATTGAGGGCAAACTTCCTCACTTCCTGACTATTTGACAGGTGTCAAGCAGGACTAGCAGTAAGGCAAAATCTTCCCACTTCCTGTTTATTGGACAGTCATTAAGCAGAACAGGAACTGAGGGAAATTTTACTTTTTTTTGTCAATTTGTCATGCATTTGAAGCAGTTTGGAATGAAGCCAAATCACCCCATCTCCTGATATGCATCAGGTAGAACAGGAAGTGAGGTAAATCTCCCCACTTCCTGTCTATTGGATAGACACCAGACAAAGCAGGAAGTGAGGGAAAACCTTCCTGTTTATTAGACAGGGATCATACGAAACAGAAAGCAAAGGAAAATCTCCCCACTTCATGTCTATTGAACAGGCTTCAGATCTAATAGGAAGTGGAGGAAAATTTAAATATTTCTTGTCTATTTCATGGGCATCAAGAGATATGTGGAGTGACAGAAAATATCCCCTCTTCCTGTCTATGGGACAGGCATTAAACAGAACAGGAATTGAATGAAATTTCACTATTTACTGTCAATTTGCCATACATTGGAAACAATCCAGAATGAGGGCAAATCTCCCCATTTCCTGAAGGGCATTAAGCAGAATAGGAAGTGAGGGAAACTCCCCCTACTTCCTGTCTATTGAATGGGTATCAGCCAGTACAGGAAGTGAGGTAACATGTTCCTGCTTACTGCCTATCTGATGGGTGTCAGAAGGAAAAAGGAGTGAGGGCAAATTTCCTTATTCTCTGTATTATCCTTCTGTGAAGTCAAGGAGGCAGTGGGCGGGTCTATGACGCCCTGTGCTCACAGGAAGTGGATGCTGAATGTAATTCAACCTGAGAGGCAGGCCAGGGCAGTGGGTGGAGCCATGCTCATATCTGGGCGGGGTCTGCAAATGAGGGTTGTGTCCATATATCCATACAGAGCTGTACATATGTGATTTTTCCTCCACAGCTGCCCACATCGGGGTGGGGATTAGCGGGCAGGAAGGGATGCAGGCCGTGCTATCCAGCGACTTCTCCTTCGCCCAGTTCCGTTACCTGCAGCGCCTCCTCCTGGTCCATGGCCGCTGGTCCTACATCCGCATGTGCCAGTTCCTCCGCTACTTCTTCTACAAGAACTTCACCTTCACCCTGGTCCACTTCTGGTACGCATTCTTCTGCGGCTTCTCTGCTCAGGTGAGGCGAATGAGTGCTCCTCCAACAGGGCGGCCGCGTGTCCCCGAAAACTGAACTCCGGTTTTGCTAGTCTTGTGATCCAGGCACCCCTTCCGGACACAACAGTCAGGTTCTGGATGTCTCTGCAGGATACGGTGCCGCCGAGGAAAAGTGCCTGGTCTCCCGTCTGTGATTGGATAGTAAAGGTGCAGTAGCACATCTGCTGTTGACCTCCTGTCCGGAAGCTCCCAGTGTTAGATGGACCACACATGCTTAGTACAGCAGACCCTGACTGGTTAAGAGTGCTTGCCCTCCTTCTACCACGCTGAGTGCTGCTGTGCAGGAAAAGACAGGAGGCTGATATAAATACCGATTAATGTACTTCTGCTAGCTTTACATTCAAAGATAGTCCATAGTTGGATGTAAATGTCACCATGGCACGGGGGACTCTCCCTGGGGGACTGTAGCTGGGATAACCAGACTCACAGTAGAATGGGTTCTGAATAAAGTCCATAGTGGGACCCCTGTGGTACCACCTGTTAGGGTATGAACCTCTAAAAAGGGGAAACAGGTTCTCCTAAATGACTTGCTGACCTGGAACAAGTGTGCAAGCTGTTGCAAAGCTCAGTTGCTTCCACCCTATCTGATGTGACAGTGCCCTGGGTACAGGAGACGTGCAATGACATCCCCCTGGCATGAACAAGTGTTCAACCTACAATGGCTGTGCAGTGTGAAGTCCCACCATACAAATCTCCCCTTCCTCCCCGCCACCCAGAGGACACCCAGGGGACACAGTGCATGTAGCACTTTGTCCCATTTTGATAGGCACCATGAATGCTGAGCTAGGGTGGTTGACAATGTGCCCTCTCCCCTATGGCTGTTCGACCGCGCTGCTCAGTAGGACATTAATAACTTATTGGTTTTGATTGACATTTGACAGTGATTTCCTCTGCTGGGACCTGCACATCCTGTGTGGGTGGTGGTGGGGGTTGAGTGCAACTGCCTGGAACATATACACACTGATTGAATGCCAGGCGTGCTCACAGCAGAAGGATAAGAAGCAACCGAGCTCCACAAGATGAATGTCCCATTATTGCTCATCATATGGGGGGTGTCGGCGCGAGTCTCCTGTACCCAGGGCACTGTCACAGCAGATAGGGTGGTAGCAACTGAGCTTTGCAATAGGAACACCCACAAATTGGACTTCGTCCCGGGCAGGAGTTGACAGGCAATAATCGGAGACATAAAGAGGATCATGCCGGGGGATGTCAGCACAAATCTCTTCTTCCCAGGGCGCGGTCACATCAGATAGGGTGGTAGCAACTGAGCTTTGCAATAGGAACACCCACAAATTGGACTTCGTCCCGGGCAGGAGCTGTCAGGCAATAATCAGAGACATAAAGAAGATCATGCTGGTGGGATGTCATCGCGAGTCTCCTCTTCCCAAGGCGCGGTCACAGCAGATAGGGCTGTAGCCAGGGCCGGATTGTTCAGAGTTTCTATAGACAAGCAGAGATGAGTTTCAGCATGAATAAATAGATCAGCGGGTAAGTTTGGATTGCTCATGTGACTTTAAAGAGAAGTCGGCAAGACCGGAGTGTTCCTCTTTAAATCTCTACTGATGTCACATGTATTTGATGTTGTGCTGCCACCTAGTGTTGGTTTTTTATTACTGCCGTACTGCTGTGTGACCGGCACATCTTGTGTCTCTTCACAGACGGTTTATGACGAGTGGTTCATCACATTGTATAATCTGGTGTACACCTCGCTACCTGTACTGGGGATGAGCCTCTTCGATCAGGTAGGATCTATAAAAATCAATGATCAGACCGTGATCACATGACACATTCCTTCAAATGGAAATATGTGATTGGGAGAGCTCTGCGGTAATCTGTTTCTTTTACAGGATGTGGATGACCGATGGAGCATGGAGTACCCGCAGCTGTATGAACCCGGGCAGAAGAACCGCTACTTCAACATCAAGGAGTTTGTGAAGTGTGTGATCCATGGGGTGTACAGCTCCCTTGTCCTGTTCTTCATTCCGTATGGGGCACTGTATGACACAGTGAGGGATGATGGGAAAGCCGTGTCCGACTACCAATCCTTTGCCTTGATGGCTCAGACATGCCTGCTGCTTGTGGTATCGGCTCAGGTAAAAGAGTGCAGAGATGTTTCCATAAAGGTCTACCACTGAGGCTGTGCAGAAATATTTGTCTGGACAGGCTAAGCTGCTACGGAACTACACAATCCCACATTCTGTGTCAGGGCAAGAGGGGATTTGTAGCTCTACAGCAGTAGCCTCTTCTAATATGACAAGGCTTAGCCATAGAAGCCCATGTGGCTGCTATGAGGCCTGAAAGTGGGAAGGGGCCCCACTAGGGAGGTTAACTGCTGTCTCCATTCTGGCTGATGTCAGATGCACAAGATCATGCTTTGGGATTTTGCCATTGTTAGTCCTTAGAAGATTTATTGCCTTCAGAGCTTCAGCTCATCCGTACCATCTAATCTTCTGCTCATCCTGGCCATCTGATCATTCTGACCAACTGGTCTTCTGCTCATCCTGGCCATATGGTCTTCTGCTCATCCTGGCCACATGGTCTTCTGCTCATCCTGGTCACATGGTCTTCTGCTCATCCTGGCCACATGGTCTTCTGCTCATCCTGGCCATATGGTATCTGCTCATCCTGGCCACATGGTCTTCTGCTCATCCTGGCCACATGGTCTTCGGCTCATCCTGGCCATATGGTATCTGCTCATCCTGGCCATCTGGTCTTCTGCTCATCCTGGCCATATGGTCTTCTGCTCATCCTGGCCATATGGGCTTCTGCTCATCCTGGCCCTCTGGTCTTCTGCTCATCCTGGCCATATGGTCTTCTGCTCATCCTGGCCATATGGGATTCTGCTCATCCTGGCCATCTGGTCTTCTGCTCATCCTGGCCACATGGTCTTCTGCCCATCCTGGCCATCTGCTCTTCTGGTCACCCAGGCCATCTGGTCTTCTGCTCATCCAGGCCATCCGGTCTTCTGCTCATTTTGGCCATATGGTCTTCTGCTCATTTTGGCCATATGGTCTTCTGCTCATTTTGGCCATATGGTCTTCTGCTCATCTTGGCCATATGGTCTTCTGCTCATCTTGGCCATGTGGTCTTCTGCTCATCTTGGCCATATGGTCTTTTGCTCATCCTGACCATCTAGTATTCTGGTCATCCTGGCCATCTGGTCTTCTGATCATCCTGGCCATCTAGTATTCTGGTCATCCCAGCCATATGGTCTTCTGTTCATCCTGCCCACCACTGATTTAGACTTTACTTTACAGTTATACTTTATACAACCTCTATATTTATGTTATCCAATACACTATTGACCCAATTTCCAATGCCATGTGTCACAGAGAGAGAGGTCACTCAGGTGCCCCATCAAAATGTTGTTATAGGACCACCATGCATTGTGGTTATGCTCCTTGGATCACTGTCTTAATCTTTTCCTTGTAGATCGGCCTGGACACTGCCTACTGGACAGCCGTCAACCAGTTCTTCATCTGGGGCAGCATAGCCGTCTATTTTGCCATCAGTTTTACCATGTACAGCGATGGGATGTATCTGATCTTTACGGCTTCCTTTCCGTTCATCGGTGAGTGATGATGCTCCTGCAGTACAGGTGCAAACAAATGTTTGTCTTGATCTTTACATAAACCTGTCAGATGACGGCTGACATTGCTGGACTTTCATTGGAAATGCTAGCTGCCTGCCTGTTGGCATGTCAAGGCAGATGCTGATTGTCCAAGAACAGTATGGTGGGTGTTAAGGTTTGTAGAAGCCGCCCTAGTTACATAAGCCCAGCAATACACTGAGATACAAACTTGTACATCCCAATAACCCAACCCAACATTTATACCCACCACCATTCAGTTCAGGGATAGTTGTTCCAGTTTGAGGTAGAGGGCCTCTTTCACACACACGTCAAACTGGAACAACCATCCCTGAACAGGATTGGGGGCCTTCAACACCATTTGTCTTCCACATATAAGACGCTTTTAACATCTCTACCCTGGTGAGAGTATAAATGCTGTAAATTGGTGGGAGTATAAATGCTGGGGTATGTTCCTGGTATGGTGGGGGTATAAATGTTGGGGTATGCTCCTGGTATGGTGGGGGTATAAATGTTGGGGTATATTCCTGGTATGGTGGGAGTATAAATGCTGGGGTATGCTCCTGGTATGGTGGGGGTATAAATGTTGGGGTATGTTCCTGGTATGGTGGGGTATCAATTAAGTGACTTGGAGAAGACATTGTAGAACAAGTCCAGTAGAATGTGACCGACGACGACGACGAGCTCTTCCATGGCCGGGACCAATGAGAACCTTCAGAGACCTCATTTACATCCTCCTTCCAGCACAGTGATTGGAGGAATGGCGGCCTCCTTTCTTCTCTCATCAATGGTTTCCTTTCAGTAAAAACATTTTTAGAAGAAGACCGCGACGTCTGTTGTCTGAGATGCTGCTTCTCCCGCCTCCGGCCTGAGCCTTGCACTGCGCCAATGTAACAACATGGATGACATCACATGTGTAGAATGTAACAACATGGATGACATCACATGTGTAGAATGTAACAACATTGATGACATCACATGTGTAGAATGTAATAACATTGATGACATCACATGTGTAGAATGTAATAACACTGATGACATCACATGTGTAGAATGTAATAACACTGATGACATCACATGTGTAGAATGTAATAACACTGATGACATCACATGTGTAGAATGTAATAACACTGATGACATCACATGTGTAGAATGTAATAACACTGATGACATCACATGTGTAGAATGTAATAACACTGATGACATCACGTGTGCAGATAGCGGCTGTTGATTGACATTGGTCATTTGACGTGTTCGGGTCTCTTCCAGGAACTGCGCGGAACTCCTTGAACCAGCCCAGCATTTGGTTCGCCATTTTCCTGACCGTGGTCCTCTGCGTCCTGCCGGTGGTGGCCTACAGGTTCCTGAGGTCGCTGCTGAGACCCACCTTCAGTGACCGGGTGAGACCAATGGAAGCGTAAAGGGCGACTCCACCCGGGTGTTCTGGCCAGAGAAGGGAGGGGCTATAGGTCACATGATGTCCCTTTTAAAATCAAATTATTTCTGTGCCGCCGTTTCCTCCTCCCGCCTCTCACTCAGTGCAGGAACTCTGCTAAAACCTCCCACCTGTGCGGTGCTAGATGTCAGAGGGGAGGTATGAGGCACTGCGTGTAATAGGGAGGGAGGAGGCACTGTGTGTAATAGGGAGGGAGGAGGCACTGTGTGTAATAGGGAGGGAGGAGGCACTGCGTGTAATAGGGAGGTATGAGGCACTGTGTGTAATAGGGAGGTATGAGGCACTGTGTGTAATAGGGAGGGAGGAGGCACTGGGTGTAATAGGGAGGTATGAGGCACTGCGTGTAATAAGGAGGGAGGAGGCACTGTGTGTAATAGAGAGGGAGGAGGCACTGCGTGTAATAGAGAGGGAGGAGGCACTGTGTGTAATAGGGAGGTATGAGGCACTGTGTGTAATAGGGAGGGAGGAGGCACTGTGTGTAATAGGGAGGGAGGAGGCACTGCGTATAATAGGGAGGGAGGAGGCACTGTGTGTAATAGAGAGGGAGGAGGCACTGTGTGTAATAGGGAGGTATGAGGCACTGTCTATAATCCCCGGGATTATTGTCACTGAAAGGAAGGGGAAACTAAGGTGTTTGAGTTGTGACCAGAGCAGGAAGTGAGGGTAAATCTTCCAAGGGGACACCCGTTCCAGTTAGTGTTGCCACCTCTCCGGGATTCACCCATACAGTCCGGTCTTTGAGTCTTGTGTCCGGGTTTCAAGCAAGCTGACAGCAGGATACAAGACACCGAGTGCCGATACCACTTTAACCGCCTCCCGTCCGCCGATCGCTGAAAGACGGCCGGGCGGGAGTCTCCTGGATGCGGTTGGGCGTCTTTAGACGTCCTCCGTGCCCGCCCCTCACGATGGCCGTTTACATGCAGGAGGTCCGACGTCTGTAGTCACCCTATGCGATAACAATAAAGTTAAGTGTAAAAAAAAGTAAAAAAAAAAAATTGCTCACAAAATGAATAAAAATGTACGCACACAAAACAAAAACTAGAACTAAAAAGTCCCCCACATAGATGTGCAAAAATGCGACAGTGGCGCCTACACGCAAAAACGACGATTGCTCCAATTACGCCGCACGTGTTACATATCGCCGCGAACGTGACGGAATAAATGTCAGTCAAAGTACCGCAGCCCTGAACACTGAAACATGGCCGGGACATGAATGGGGTGTAACACCACGGTCAGCAAGGGGTTAAACAGGTGCAGGCCGGTCCGCACATCTCCTCCTCTGTCTTTCTGAGACCATGCTGCCGGCGTCCGGGCCCCTGGTGAGACACCGCACAGCCCTCCTGAAAGCCTCTATAGCCCCCTTGAGAGTCTGCACAGCCCACCCGAGACCACACACAGCCACCTGAGAGTCCGCATAGCCTACCTGAGAGTCCGCACAGCCCACCCGAGACCACACACAGGCACCTGAGAGTCCGCATAGCCCACCCGAGACCACACACAGCCACCTGAGAGTCCGTACAGCCCACCTGAGAGTCCGCACGGCCCACCTGAGACCCCACACAGCCACCTGAGAGCCTGCAGAGTCCACCTGAGAGTCCGCATAGCCCACCTGAGAGCTTGCAGAGTACACCTGAGAGTCCGTACAGCCACCTGAGACCCTGCACTGCCACTAGACAGTCTGCATATCCCACCTGAGACCCCCTCAGCTCTCCTTAAATAGTTTTTGTAGCATGTTGATGGGGAGGGGTCTGGAGGGAGGGGGAGGAGCCAGGGAAGACAACATATAAGCGGGATGTGATCGGAGGTCATGAACGTGTATTTTGTGTGTTTTTCAGATCCAGAAAAAAATCAGCGAGGCGAAGAAGCGCCCGGTCCCTCCCCCTC